GGTCCCAGGGCAGGGCTGCCCGGCCCCGGCCCCGGGCCGCCTGCGCTCCCCATGAAAAACCAGCTCCACGGCCCCCCAGCGCGGGCGCACATGTCGGCCTCGGGGGCGGCGGCGACGGGGGGCACCGAGGCGGGCTCCGAACCCGGTGCGGGGTCCGGGTCTGGGGCGGGTGCGGTGACGGGAGCCATGCCTTGCAAGAGCGCAGAGTGGCTGCAGGAGGAGCTGGAGGCGCGCGGCGGTGCGTCGCTGCTGCTGCTCGACTGCCGACCGCACGAGCTCTTCGAGTCGTCGCACATCGAGACAGCCATCAACCTGGCCATCCCGGGCCTTATGCTTCGCCGCCTGCGCAAGGGCAACTTGCCCATCCGCTCTATCATCCCTAACCACGCCGACAAGGAGCGCTTCACCACGCGCTGCAAGGCGGCCACCGTGCTGCTCTACGACGAGGCCACTGCCGAGTGGCAGCCCGAGCCCGGCGCTCCCGCCTCGGTGCTCGGCCTACTCCTGCAGAAGCTGCGCGACGACGGCTGCCAGGCCTACTACCTCCAAGGTGAGGGCTTCACGGAGACCCCCACCCTGGGATCGGGGCTCCCCGGCATCTCCTCAACGCCACTGCTGGAGGCTCCTTCCTCCTTACGCGTTCGACCTGACTCGCTGGGCGCCACGTCGCCCCGACCCGCATCCCTCCTCCCGAGAGCCCGCTGCAGGTTTGGGCAAGCGTGGGGTCCCCTCTGCCCTCCCCCACTTTCTCGGCACGATTCGAGTGGGCGGAACAAACTTTTCCTTGCCTGGGCTTTCCTTTTTTTTCCTGGTGACTGGGTGACGGCAGCGCCCAGACGCAAGCTGAGTACCCCAGAGGAGGGAGGGGTCGCCTTCTGGGATCCGAGGGTAGCAAGGCCCCCAAGTCCAGCTCCCCCACACTGGAATGCCCGTTCCTTGAAGGCCAGGGTCAGGACCACGCCTTTTACGGCACTATCCGGTCCCCAGGTCATGGCAACCGTTTGTATCGGGGGACTTCGGGTATTCCCTATGTGGCCCCCACTACCCAGGATTGCGGTCTCTGGGAGTCTCTTGAGGGGGCAGTTGTACCCCTTGCCTTAGTCGGATATCCCAGGTGCCCAGCCTGGCTGCCCCGGATCTTGCGGAAGGAGGAGGTGGCGCCAGGGGGCGAGTGTCTGTAGCCGGTGTTTCCAATTAACATTCCAAAATGGCCTCTCGCTGGCAGCGGGGCGGGCTGGTGAGGAGGGGAGGGGAAGCCTGCGGCACCCTCAGGCGCAGGGCCCAAGCTTAGCTCCAAAGCCCTCCCCATTTCCCCTGTCCCTATCTAGCTCCAAGTGTGCCTCCCCCTCTGTGAGCCAACGGCTGGGAGACCCTGTGTTCTAAGAAGGGCCTCTGGAGAGATGGAGGTGGGATCCGTTTTACCAACTTCTCCTAATGGGGAAGGGGCCACCCAGCACCTTCAACCTTCCTTCCCTAACTGTGGTTGGGGTGTATGGGGAAAACCAGCACTAGATTCTCAGGAGAGTCAAGCCCTCCTTGTCTCTAACTGACCCAGTGCAGCTCAGACCTCATGTTTTCATCTGAGGGGTTTATAGGCTCACAGGTAAGATTGTCTGCCTTCCTTTACCAATTACCTACTTAGTTACTGAGCAGCCATGGGTGCAAGCTGAGCACAGAGCTGTGGCCTGTCCTCATGTGCCCTAAAACTGCTGGTAGGGCCCCGGGCCCTGAAGTGACATGGGTAAGCATATGGAGCTCTGGACTCCAGCTGCTTGGATTTGATCCTGGTTCTATTGCTTACCATCTATGGGACCTTGGAGACATTACTCACTTCCTGAGGCCTAAGTTTCTCATTTGTGAAGTAGCTTATAGAGTAGATGTGGAGAACACTTGGCTTGGCATGACCCACGTTGGCCATCATTGATGTTGTGGTGCTTGACATGGGAAGGCCTGGCCATCATTGGTGTTGGGCTGCACATTTGGGCTGGGGGCATTGGCAGCCTCTCACCCTGTCCCCATTTAATCCCTGGCCACAGGTGGTTTCAACAAGTTCCAGACGGAGTACTCTGAGCACTGCGAGACCAATGTGGACAGCTCGTCCTCACCAAGTGGCTCACCGCCCACCTCAGTGCTGGGCCTTGGGGGCCTACGCATCAGCTCTGACTGCTCAGATGGCGAGTCAGATCGAGAGCTGCCCAGTAGTGCCACCGAGTCGGACGGCAGCCCTGTGCCATCCAGCCAGCCAGCCTTCCCCGTCCAGATCCTGCCCTACCTCTACCTTGGCTGTGCCAAGGACTCCACCAACCTGGATGTGCTTGGCAAATACGGCATCAAGTACATCCTCAACGTTACGCCCAACCTGCCCAATGCCTTTGAGCACGGCGGCGAGTTCACCTACAAGCAAATCCCCATCTCTGACCACTGGAGCCAGAACCTCTCCCAGTTCTTCCCTGAGGCCATCAGCTTCATTGGTAGGTGCTGCTACGTGATGGGCAGGGTGGGTGGGCAGGTGTGTCAAGGTGTGCACAGGACTCTAGTGTCCTGTCACCTGAGCCCAGCTAGACACCTCTGGACCTGTTGAGGCCTGTGTGTGCGCTGCATGTGCCAACTTGTGCCTGTGGGTGTACCCAAGCCTTCTGTGAATCACCAAGGCCCTCAGGCTGTCTACCTGACAGGGCCTTGAGCAATCCCCTGAGTCCTGGGCTCTCTTCAGCCGCCAGCACCTCATGGGCTGTGTGGTCCATCTTGTGTTTTTTCTGGCTTTGATGCTGTTTCAGGCTTAGCAAGCTGCAACATCACAGCTCACAGACCTCCCATGGGGCTCGCTCACTCTGCATCATGCCTTAGCACACATGTCTCTCTAGGATGGGACCCGTCACAGAACCTCTTTGGGCCTTAATGTGTACCTGAAGAGGCTGATAGATGGCCCTGGAGCCAGAGGCCTGCCTCAAACAGCTATCAAAATGTGGACCCAGAATGCCTCAGTGGTACCCCAAATCTCCCCCTGGTAGTCTGTGAAGCTTGCTCACAGCATTAGGGGTACACAGAGGAGGTGGGGGAGGTTGAGGAAGTCTTTCCCAGAACACTAGTCCTGCTGTTTGTCATCAAGCCCTCTGAGGCAGGCCCCTACCCCTGACCTGAGCTCCTTAAGACACCTCATTTCTGCCCTCCTATCCTGTGGGCTCCTTGCCCAACCAGAGGCTTGTAGATTTCAGGTCACTCCCCTGGCCTCCAGCTTTCACCCAGGGTGCGGGGAAGGGCACACAGGATCAGGATAGTGATAAACCCTGGCTTCTCTGAGCATGGTGGCCTGGGCAGCCTTGGCCTGCTGGCAGCTGTGTCTGGAGGAGGGCGTTTTGGTGTCGGCTGGGCTGGGTTAGCTTTAATAACAGGAAGTGGGAGGCTTCCCCGCCTCATCCGCTTACTGGGAACCAAAACTAGGTGCCTGGCTGGGAGGAAGGAAAGAAGCAGAGGCCTGGGGGAGGGGCTGCGGCCAGGACTGCCTGAGTTTCCCAGGCCTGCCATGTCAGGGCCAAGAGGGCTATGGGTGCTGCCTCATCATTTGAGCCCAGGCGCCGCCCCCCCACCCCAGGAAGGAGAGGAGTAGAAAAGGGGAGCCCAGTTCTCCAGGGCCAAGTCTAGTTTGTGGGTCCCTTTATCCATTGTAAAGTCCCCTCCACATCCAAGGCAAGGGAACAAGCCAGGACGGAGGTGTAGAGAACCTTTATTCCCATTTGACAAGTGAAGGAACCGAGGCCCAGAAGGCTCAGGGGGGCGGGATCCAGCACCAGCAACCCCTCCCCCCAGTCACACCCTGCAAGGGCTAAAAATAAAACCAACGGAAGCGGTTATACTGTGGATTGTCCTGGAGTGGGTCTCAGGGCCGGGCGTTCCCAGTATCCTAGTGTGTTACCACTGGAGGCTTGTCTCTACCCGCCCCCCCGCCCCAGATTTCAAGGTCAGAGATCACAGGGCTGCACACAAAGGGGTAGCATCTGTCTCCCCCACTGTTAGTCCTACCCCCAGAGCCTTAGCCACAGGCCATCACCAGCTATGTGTTTAGCCCTGGGGACCCCTAGATGGGGCATGCATGGGGAGGGGAAGCTCTGCCTAGCCAGCAGTAATGAGCCCCACATGAGGAACAGTTGGTGGGCTTGTGTGTTACCTTGGAGGAGAGCACTGAGTGCGGACTGTGTGCCTGGCTCCCAGTGGGTTAGCAGTTTGGGAGGTGGGGTCCTCAAGAGCTCTGGGGCTGCCTCTGCCTCTTGGTGGTCATGTCCCTGGCACAGCTATGGCACAGAGAGAGGCAGCTGCTCCAGGGACCAGGGGAGAGGAGATGACAGACAGAACTGAGTATCTGTAGCTCAAGCAAACCAACGTTGACGGTGCTGTCCTACTGTATGTCAGGCAGAGGAACGGGAGGGCTGGGAAGCAGGTTGTGAGAATGACCGGCCCTGGAAGGGTGAAGGGAGAGTTGGCAGAATTTGACTGGCTGTGGTGGGAGATGTCGCTGGCACATGGGCCTGCTGGGGAAGGTCTAGCAAGTGGGGTGGGCACTACTTTAAGCAAACCGCATGTGAAACCTAGCAGCCCAGGCTGACGGGTGGCTGAAGTACACTCATCATCCACCTTCAGGAGTGATAACTAAGGCCCTGGGAACTTGCCAGTCAAGCCAAGTGCAGGCCCTAGCCCCTCACTCCCTTCTGGAGGAGCCTCCCAGGCAGCTTGCCCAGGAGACTCAGCTCCCACCCCCAGGGCATGGGCTGGCAACAGCAAGTGCTGCTAGTTATGAGTATAGTCTGTGTGGCCTTGGGCTCATCAATGTGTCTCTGAGTCTGTTTCCCCATTTATTAAATAGCCTACTAGCCATGGTGTAGGTGACCTGGGAAAGATGAAGGGGACACCCATGGCACCAAAGTACACATTTGTAGCAGCAATAGTAGCAGCAGTGACCATAATCATCACAGTAGCTCACATTGGTTGAGCCCTCACTTGGCTCAGGTTCTTACAAGAGCACTGAGTAAGGCCCATTTTATAGATGAGGAAATTGAGGTATAGGGACGTCCAGTGACTTTGAACTAAACTAGACAATGGCTTCTGCACAGCCAAGTTGCTGCCCCACCTGCATGGGACATGGCCAGGTCACCGAAGGAGTTAGGCAATACCAGCCAACAACCATGCCACCCTCTGTACCCCATCCCTACCTGCTCTGGCCTCTCTGTCCACCCATTTGGGAAACTTTCTTGGAGGAGATGCCCTTCTGACCCATGCCCCTGTGTTTCAGATGAGGCCCGCTCCAAGAAGTGTGGTGTCCTGGTGCACTGCCTGGCAGGCATCAGCCGCTCGGTGACAGTCACTGTGGCCTACCTGATGCAGAAGATGAACCTGTCACTCAACGACGCCTATGACTTTGTCAAGAGGAAAAAGTCCAACATCTCGCCCAACTTCAACTTCATGGGGCAGCTGCTGGACTTTGAGCGGACGCTGGGGCTAAGCAGCCCATGTGACAACCACACACCCAGTGGGCAGCTCTACTTCTCCACGCCCACCAACCACCACTTGTTCCCACTCAACACGCTCGAGTCCACGTGAGGCGCCTCCCCAGCCCTCCATAGCGCCAGGTGGGAGGGTCCACGCCTGTTGCCTCTGGCTTGAGGAACCCACAGACATCATCTGTGTCCGGCAGCCCAGGCTGATAGGTGGCCGAGCTTTACTCATCATCCTGTGGGGGGCAGAGCCCACAGGCAAGGCCTTCATCTGCAGGACTTTGTGGAGAGGCCCTCAACTGTCCGACACATGGCTTTGGGGGTCCAGCAGGGCCTCATCCTTCCCTAGGACACTCCTTTCTGCTGATGGCCCGGCCAACTTGGCTATTTTTTAAAGACACATCCACGAACCTGAGTTTACTTTTTACTTCTGACAGGTAAATCCAAGCTCCCTGGAGCACAGAGAGTGTTCAAGCTCTTCTGATTTTTCTCTTTTTATTAACGGAAAGTGTTATTTCCAGGCTACATGCAACAGTGGATTGTATAAACCAGTATTTCATCCCTTGATCCTGCGAGAGAGAGAAACGTCCTCCGTTTTGTTTTTTTATTTCAAAAAGTAATTATTGGTGGTTTTTTTTTGTTTTTGTTTTTAATGGAAAAGACAAACCCCGTGTTGATCTTGACCAAATGCATTTTGCACATGTGTGAAGCCTCAGTTTCTGCGGCAGGCCTTTCTGGAAGGGGCGGCTTGCCGTTCTCTAGGCTCGGTAGGACACCAGTCCTGCCCATGCCTCCCACCCTCAGCCCAACCCACTTGACACTGCATTTGACTGCGATGATGGCTACAGTTGTGATTGGTGGGCTGTGTGGGTGGCTTTTGCATTCTCTGTCCTCCCCACCATCTTCCACTCCTGGGGCAGGAGGTGGGGGCCCTGCCTTGCTGGAGGTAGGGCCATGGGGGACTGCCAAGCAGTAGCATTAGCCCTTGGGCCTAGCCCCTAGGGGGGCCTGAGCTCTGGGCCCTTTTATATACTCTACCTACTACTTTTGCCTCTTTTTTCTTCTTTCTCTCTCTCTGTTTGCAACTGGGAGTGGAGGCCCAGTGGCCAGGGTAAGCTTAGGTGGGTGGGGGCCCAGCCCTGCCTCTCTAGTTCCTTCCCCTTCCACTGGCCATTGCTTTGATCCCGCTCCCATTCTCAGCCCCTTTCTCCCCGTGGACACCTGTACTGCTCTCATCTTGCCCATGCCTTCTGCTACCAGGAAACTTGCACCCATTTCCACCCCTAAGCAGGGGCAGGAGGGGTGAGGATGCAGGGAGGCACCTTGGACAAGTGGAAGGGCTTTGTGGCTCTGTCCACTCAACCCCACTCCAAGCATCCACAGAACAAAGCCACGGATTCCGTTATCTTCCTCTACTTTTGTTCCTTCTCCAACCTCAGTTCTAGCAGGTGTTAGGACTGCTTGGGGGCCCGGGGAGGGTGAGCAGTCGGGCGGGAGTCCCTGAGGGAGCCAGCACTCAGCATGTGAGCGAGGCCACGGAAACTCTGCCCTCCACTGCATCTTACCTCACAGGGGTTGTTTTCAGGGATTCTTTAGGGCAGCGGAGTAAAATCTTGCCACAGTTGAGAAAGTAGACAACAAGCTCCCGTGCTGTACATGGTTCTCTTTCTCTCTCTCTTTTATTTTTAAAAAGAAATACCCAGAAAGATGCATCAGACTTAGTAAATGAGGGTATGCCAAGAGGGTGGCCAGTTTTGCTTTATGATCTTATGAAGGAAAATTGTGACCCTACATATATATACATACACATACATATATATATCCCGAACCAGCAACGGGACTTTGTTTATATTGCAAATAAATATTATTTTTTCTTTAAAATGTGTCATGGTGTCTGGTAGACTTGAAGTCTGCGAAGATCAGGAGAGGGTGCTATTGATGGGTCTGGTGTCTCCTATGTGTGAGGTATTGGCCTGGTCTTGCGTGGGGTCTGCCGGACACTTGCTTTGAGGGTCAGAGGGGCATCATAGGTGGGAAGGAGCACCTTGGTAATGCTGGGTTGGGGTGGAAGCATTAGTATTTCGCTTCTCCTTTAGACATAGGAAGTTGGGGGCATCAGGGCTTTCTCCGTGGCCTCCTACTAATTATTTGACAGGATGTTGAGGTTCAAAGACATCGTGTGTGCCAAGGTCACACAATTGAGCCCCAGCTCACCCAGTGTTGCCCTAGGGACACCCAGTATTGCCCTAGGTTCTCCCCTTGGAGATTGCCCAAAGGCTTCTAGCCCCTGAACCCCAGTCCCCTGCAACCCCAGAGCCCTGACCTTTTTTCCCTTGCTGTTGTGGGTGGGAGAGGATAGTTCCAGGGATGTCAAGTGGGAGCAGAAAACCTGATCGGTGAGCCAGTCAGCCCTGCTTTGATCCTTAGGAGCTAGATGGCCCTGGACAGTTTGCTTAGCCTCCCCGAACCTCAGTAGCCATCTCTGTAAAATGGGATCAGTTGCATCCAGAGTGCTTTCTGTGTTCAGGGCAAGTTGGGCACATTACACTCATGTCTTAGTCTGCACCTGGGTAACAGGAATCAGACACAGTCAGACTTCTCCAGAGCAGAGTGAACATGGGCCCTCTATCCAGGCTCCCTCTGGTCAGTCAAGGAGAGGCCCTGGAAAGGGCCTGGCAAAGGGCAGTGACTGCAGCTTGGAAGGCTAAGGCTCCCATGGGCAGCACAGCTTATGTGACAGCTGGGAAATGGACTGGCCTGTTTCCTGAGCCTCTGGCTGGCTTGGGGGAGCTTCTGCCAGGGACTTAGGAGGCCTGGGTGCTGACTTGGTTTCCCCATCGCCTCTTGCTTGACTGTCCCTTCGACAGACTGTGACTGGCACTGGATTGGACCTGAGTAGGGGTAGGCCAGCAGGGCTGGAAGAGTGAGGGCAACTCAGCCCTCTGTCCCTGGACTTCAGAATGGGAAACACTGCGGAGCAGCCAGCAGATTGCGGGAGTCAGGAGGAGGGGGTCCTTGCAGTGTCACAAAAGGGTGGGTGCTGCCTTTGCTCCCAGGCTCCCTCAGAGCACTGGTCCCTCTGTGCCAGGGGCAGGCAAGGGGGTGGGGGCCTGAACAGCCAGAGACTGGCCCTTTGTTCCCTCTTGCTGCCCTCAGCCAGCTCTGGGGAAGCCCGCGGGTGCCGTGCTGGGGGCTGGGCCCTTGATAGGCTGAGTAAGTGCCTGGCAGTGCCAGTGTGCCCAAGCACAGGATGGGGGGGTGGGAGAGCAGTCATTTCCTGAGCTGGCTTCTCAGGCCAAGGGCTGGGGGGCTTGGAAGTACGTGAAGAAAGCCAACTCTGCTGCTTGTCTTTCTGACCCTCAGTGTCATCTGTAGAATGACACCTGGGCACCATGCCTGGCAGTGGTTCCCTGCAGCTTCCCTCTGGCAGGGACAAAGGGCCAGATCCTGGCTGGGTGGCTGGGGCCCTGAATCTTCACTCTGTGATCTCAGGCTAGGTCATGCTTACTTTGGACCTCTGGGTCCCAGGCTCCCACCTCATAGTTCCTCACTCTGAGCTTCTGATAATCCACCTTGTCTCTGCTATGCCTGCCTCCCATGGGCCCTGGTTGGTGCAGGTCATTTTTGGTCAGGGGACTAGATGCCAGTGTCCCCTGTGCCCCTGGATGATCTAGCTCTTTGAGGCTGCATCTGCTTTGTCGCTGCACCCCAAGTCCTTTCTCTCTCCTCCTAATCAATCCTCTTTGCCTCCTAGGCCCATGTTTCTGTCTCCATTTCAGCCTGGACTCCCTCATCCACTTGTTAGCCAATTTTTAGCATTCTCATGGGAGAAGGATCCAAGCCACTTGCTCACTCACTCACTCACTCACTGGAACATTCATCCAGCAGCCATTTCCTGTGCTGGCTGGGCTGTCCTAGGAGTGGGAACATGCCCAAGGGAAACAGTGATGTCAGGCTGGGTGGCAGGATGATGAAGCCTTCAACTTGTCCTCTGATAAATGAATCAGGTGCAAGAGCAGCGGTGAGTAAGGCTGGACACCAGGAAGAACTTGTAGCACTTTAGAGCGGTCACCTTGAAGGGGCCCTGATAAGGAGACCACAAAAATGATGAGCACTGCCCTTCCCAGGATGATCCTGCCCAGAGCCTGGGGAAAGGGCAGGAGAGGGGCCTGCTTCAACCAACACCCCTACAGGCCCCCTCCCTGGAGTGCAACCAGTCATAACCCTTGAATGGGGCAGGCAGAAAGCCCATGCTGGAACTTGCCCCCTCACATGCTGCTGTCACAGCTCATCCCCGCCACCGTGTCTGCATAGGGTTGGCTGTCTGCATCCATCTGGAGGTGTCTAGGAACATCAGCACCCACACCAAAATCTTCAGGCAGAAGTTAAAGGGTCTGATGTGGGAGCCATTTTCTTCAGAGAGAATGTGCTAAGTTCTCACCTCTGGGTGCCCAGGAGTCTGGGTCAGGGAAGGATCTTTGACATCTTACCCCAGCGACCTTGTCCCACGACCTGCCAGAATACAACTCCCTCACCTTCTCTCAGAGGCCACCTGGGATTGCCCCCAACAGACCTGAGAGCCTAGGGAGGGCTCCAAATCATTCCATTCCCATCCCCATACAGATGGAGAAACCAAAGCTCTCATAGGGGTGTCGTAGAGTGAGTCAGAGTAGAAGCTAGGCCTCCCCACCCTGCGGCACTGAATCTTGTCACCCAGGTCCAGCCTCCCCCATTAGACTGGGCACCTTCTCTCTCTCGCGTTGTGTGAAGTACCCCCCACCACACACATGGTACCCTTATTTCTCATGCATGACAAGTCCAAGCAGGTCCCATAGGTATTGAGGAACCACTTTCCTCTGACTCCAGCATCCTCTCATCTGGGCATGTCCAGGGTGAGGTCACCCCTCCCAGGCATGGCTATTAAAGACCATCATTAGCAACTATCAAGACATAAGATGAGGCCTCAGCCCACTCCCGCCCCACAGTCCCAGCAGGAACCCCTTCTCAGGGCTGCCCTGTTACACACCTCCAGGGGGCGCTGTCTACCCTGTGGGCTCTTATTATGGCCCCCTTTTTTTTTTTTTTTAAATTGTGATTTGGGTGAAAATT